GCAGTTATTTTACAGTCATTGATTTTTCATCAGTTTGATTGAGAACTCAAATACATGTGACATTAAATAATAAAGGAGAGCAGAAAACATTCTATATGAAATACAGTGCTTTAAAAAACCTTCTAACAGATGTAATAATATGTTTAGTAAGTAGTGTGGCGTGCTGTTCTTTTGAGCTGTGGGAGTTCTCATCTGTTTTTGCAGCTGACTTGCAGCTAAAGACCATAGACAGTTCAACTAACTCTTTATTTTACAAACCCCATTTCCAAAAAAGTTGGGATGCTCTGAAAAATATGAATAAAAACAAAATGCAACGGACATGATTCTGTAGTGGAAATCTCTGCAGGGGCTCAGAAATTCTTCTGAAAACCACTGTCTATGAAAACAGTTTAAGTGCTAATTAAAACTCTTAAACGCAAAGAAGAAAAGATATATAAATAGGATTCAGAAATGCTGCCACCTTCTCTGGGCCCGAGCTCATTTAAGAAATGTGTGGAGAAACTTGGAGAAATGGTCCAACGAATCAACATTTGAATTTCTTTTTGGAAATCATGGTTTATGTTATGAGTGCACAGTTCAAATGCCAGTATTCATGATGGTATAGGGGTGCATTATTGCACATTGCATGTGTGACTGGCACATCTGTGAAGGCGCCATTAATGCTGAACGATATATACATGTTTTGGTAACATATGCTGCCATCCAGACAAGGGAAGGCCTTGATTATTTCAGCAAGACAATGCCAACCCACATTCTGCATGAATTACAACAGCATTGCACTGTATTAAAATAGTCCAGGTGCTGAACTGGCCTGGCTGCAGTCCAGACCTGTTACAACTGAAAACATTTGGCACTTTATAAAATGAAAAATATGACAAAGGAGACTCTGAACTGTTGAGCAGCTAAAATCTGTTAAGCTAAAAAATGTTAAGCCAAAATGGGAAAACATTTCACTTTCAAAACTACAGCAACTGGTCTTCTCAGTTCCAGCACGCTTACAGAGTGCTGCTAAAAGAAGAGGGGATGACACACAGTGCTAAACATGCCCCCGTCCCAACTTCAAAATGGGCAAATATTTTTCAAAAAAACAATTTAATTTCTTGTCTTTACGATTTAATTTCTTGTCTTTACAATTTACATTTACAATTTCCAATGAAATATAGGGTTTAAATGATTTTCAAATCATTGGATTTTGGTTTTATTTACATTTTGCACAGCATCTCAACTTTTTTGGAAATGGGGTTGTATATTATCATTATCATATATTGCAGGCTGGCAGGTCATCAAGCACTATTACGTCACCAGTAAGTGCACCAAATTGTAAGTTATGTTGATATTATATTGTTATGTTTGGAAATACACACTTTGCAAAGTGTTTACTAAGGTCACATTAGCTAGTTATGGAGCTAATGTTACCACTATTAACAGTTAGCATTCCCTTTCAGTGGCTATGTTTACATGCAACGATTTTTGCCAATCCGATTGAATACAATCCGATTACAGATTTAGACTGAGGTGTTTATATGCACTCTATTCAACAATCTGATGGAAAATCTTCGTTTACATGCTCACTACAAGTAATCCGATGCAAAATGACGCACATGCGTGGAGTAGCGCTTAGAGTAAACGTTACCATGACAGCGAACATCACGTGAGGTCCAGACCAGTTTCTGCTCCGCCATGTTGAGCGGTGTAAACTTTCGCCGTGACGCGACGCACATGCGCAGAACATACTTACACGTTCCGATTGGAATGTAATCGGATTCAGGCGTTTACATGGCTATTATTCTTCTATTTAACGGATTATTTAGAAGTTTACCCACCTCGTTCAATCGGATAGAAATTGTATTCCGAATGGCCTTAATCGGATTAGACTATTCCGATTGAGGTGTTTACACGGACATATTCTATTCCGATTGAGCTATTAGTCGGATTATTAACGGATTATCAGGCTGCATGTAAACGTGGCTAGTGTCTTTACCATGACCATTCTGTTTCTCAAGTGGGTTGAAAACTGAAGTAGAACTAGACCAATGATTCCAAAAAAGGAGTGATGACATAGAAGAACCACTTTTAGTTCACTAAATATCCATTAAACTGACAAGACCTATATTTCTAGATAAGGTAAGCTAGATATCTGGTATCTGGAACCTTTTTAAAGCTTTAAGGACCTTCACATAATGGTTCTCTACCAGTTAAAGGTTTCTCCTAGAACCATATATCCAAGCCTAGAATCATTTAGGAAGATTTAAGTTTTTGGCACCAATTTAATAATAAAACCTCATGTTTGTGAAATGTAGAGCTGCGTGGAAGAGTATTTAAAAGGCTTTGTATATTTGTTGGTATTACCAAACAGGCTCTCAAATACTCTTTTGTCCATCAAAATACAAGTTTTTTTTTGCTGATGGTGTGGAGGAGACAGTGGTAAAAACTCGTGTTTGTGATTTTGTCTAAATAAACAACTATCAAGTTATATCACTCTAATCACACAGTTCACACCAAGAATTTTGTAATATTTCAATAATTTAAAGTGCTCCCACATGTGTCCTTTAGCTGCAGTGGTCACATGGAAAGCGATGCAGTTTGTTGAACTTCAGTTGAAATTCATAACACAATCAACTAAATCAGCTATTCATCATATTTTTCATTTTCCACATACAAACAATATCTCGTCTATCTAAATGCCTTTGCTGACAAAATGCATTTGATAACACTTATAGTACCCGTAAGTTCTATGTTCTACAATAAGTTCTAGGTATTGACCATGTAAATGTGAGGTACAAACTCCAAAGTGCCTTGTAATTAATTCTAGTAAAACGTATGGTAAATATATGGACATTGAAATTACGAACACGTTTCAGATATTAAACTGATACAGGACGTACCTTCTAGTTAGTTGTGTCACGGTTTCTTCCCCTTCGTTGTAGCCATGTGCTTTCGTTTTTGTTTTATTCGGTGTCTCCTCCCTGGTCCTGCCCCCTTGTTAGCCACTCTACCTGCCTGTAGCTCCGCCCTCTCATTTGTCCCAGCTGTTTCTTGTTTCCCCTCAGTGTATTCGGACGCCTCCTGTTCCTGCGCTCCGGCTGCTCTTGCAGTCCCCTGTCCAGCCACCCTTGCTGTTTCCTGCCCAATCTGAGAATTTACAGGCTGTGTTTTCCCTGATGTCTGTCCAGTGTTTTACCCCAGGGTTTGTTTCTGTTCCTGTTTCTGTTAGAGTACCTGTGCCTGTTGGTGTTTGTGTTTTTGTACCCATTTCTGGATTCATGTCTGTCCCTGTTACTATCCTTGTCCCAATCCTTGTACCTGTTACCGTCGTGGTCTCTGTCCATGTTTGTATAGTTCAATCCCTTGTCCAGTCCCTTGCACAGTTTAGTATATTGTCCTGGTCTGGTGTCCTGTCCCCTGTCTTGTTTTCTGTGTTTTCACAGTCCCTCTTCCTACCCGGCTCCCACTTTGCATGGCCTTTGTTATTCGCGCCTTGGGAGCTGCACGTTAGAAGGGGGGTTCTGTCACGGTTCCTTCTTGTTACAGAGCGTGTCTTTCTTCCTCTCTGTTGTAGCCAAGTGCTTTTGTTGTTTTTGTTCAGTGTCTCCTCCCTTGGTCCTGCCCCATGTTATCTGCTCCACCTGCCTGTAGCTCCGCCCCCTCATTTGTCCCAGGTGTTTCTTATTTCCCCTCAGTGTATTTACACCCCTGTGTTTGTTCAGTTTTTTTTGTCTTGCATTGTGAATGTTACCCTGTTGCTTATTTTCTTTGATCTTCTTGTTAGATTTTGTGTTATTATGGACGTTTCTACAAACCTCTGCTACTCCGTTGCTGGACTAAATGCTAAATCTGATTTGAATAAAAGCAACTCACACTTGCATCCCACCTCCTTGCCTCCAGTGTTACAAGTTGGAATAACACAGTGGTCAGTACAAACATGCTTGCTCTAAATTTGAATGTATTTTGACATTTGAGCAGTGACCACCTCCATTTACTGGGTAAATTATATGGGGGAAAATGATAAAACACAATTGTTTTCTGAAGTAAATAGTTAAAACCTAAAAGGGCATTAAGAATCATTTGCTCTTTTCACAGCCCAGCTTCACTTCTATGTAACAGATAAGTACACACTATAAGACTAATTAAACTTCATTTGCATATCTTTGTCATGTACCAAAATAATAACACTTTACTGTGTGTACCACAGTTAGTGTCTAGAACTTATTTATTTACAGTACAGTTTAATTACACTATTTTGGAACTTGTTACCCCCCAAAAAAATGACCTAGTGCTTTGTACCAGTAGTTTGTGCCTCACACTTAACTGTTTCATACTTGGAACTTAATGGACTATAAATGAAAACTTTACAGTTTTGTGGCTTAAAAAAGCAAAGCAATTTAGAAAACGAAATAGATAATGAATACCAGCAAAACACATGTACTCAAATATTAAAAGTATTATAGTTAGCCCTACTGATATAACTATATAACAAGTATATATATATATATATATATATATATATATATATATATATATATATAAAAATGGGCACAGGACATTGTAAAATACTACTCATTAGGAATAACAAGAAAGTAAGCCCAAATATAGTCACTCTAAATGTGTGTGTGTGTGTGTGTGTGTGTGTGTGTGTGTGTGTTTGTGTGTAAGTCATCATGCCCGGTGCCTAAACCCACTGTCCTGGTTTGAATGCCTCAGTCAGCTGCCAACACCGCTCGTCTTCCCCTCCTCTCCTCCTCTGCCTTCCCCATCACAGCCTTTATGAATGGCAGCCAATCAGAAAGCACCCCCCTCTGCAAACTGCATCCTTGTCTAGCAAAAGCAAGAGAGAGAGGATAGAGCTTGGAGAGAGGGAGAGCGAGAGAGCGAGGGAGAGAGAGAGGGAGAGAGTGAGCGAGGGACAGGGAGAGAGAGAGAGAGAGAGAGAGAGAGAGAGCGAGGGACAGAGAGAGAGAGAGAGAGAGAGAGTGAGAGAGAGAGAGAGAGAGTGAGCGATGGAGAGAGAGAGAGAGAGGCATGCAGCTGGAGCCTCACACACAACTGTAGCCAGTCTTGGAATCTGAGCGCTGCCAAGAGGCAAAAAACAGGAGCCAGTGTCGCACTTCAATGAGAATGACATGCACTCAAAAGAGCGAGGGAATCTTCTTCTAAGGTAAGAACCTCACACTCTTACTGTATTCAGCTGTGTGATTCGAGCTGAGCTACTTACAGACCTGCAGTGTGTTGGGTTTTTTTGGATATTTCACATCGTGACGCCTTTGTAGAGTTCAAACTGAGCAAAGTCCATTAGCTTGTCTTATTGTTATCAGGGTGATGATGATGGTGCTCATAACAGCAATTGGCAGATTCTTGCGCTCGGTATTTAATAATGAATACCAAACTTTTATAAAACTGCTAACCGCAGTATCTAATGCATTATTATGTACACATGTGTTTGATTGCTCACTAATCTGGTAACTACGGCAATTTGAGGGGAGTGAATACACACAAAAAGGATGTTTTCTATTAAAGCTGAGCCCCGATTTGGATTGAATCAGCAATTAAGTTGCTCAGAGGCGCCGTATTCGACAGTGCTGTTGCGTTCCGTGCGGCGGTTTGATCTCCTTTAGGTGTTGATTCTTAAAAGTGTGTTTTGCGAGGTGTGCGCAAAAACCTGTTTGATGTTTTCCACCGAGGATATTAGGCTAGGGGGACCGCTTTGATGAGTCAGTCACTGCTTCTCTCTCTCTTGCTCTCTCTCTCTGTCTCCCTCAATGAGACTCAGCCCAGGGTTTTAACTCAGGACATACGCGCATGCAAAGCTGTTGACAGTGAACCTGCAGTTGTAGACAGCGTCTCTCTAAATGCTTCTGAGTGTTCTTCTCCAGGAGAGAGAGAGAGATAGACATAGAGATAGAGTTAGCGTTTTTAGTAACTCTCCCCTTTTTTAAGCTTGGAATCCAAGTAAAAAGTTCAAATAAATAAGTAAATAAGTGGGAGTTGCTCCCAATAAGGTTCCATAGAGGCTTTTAGTGGCTTGTGTGCATTCAATTTGTTTCCCTTTGCAAGCTACATTCTGTTAAATGGCCTCACTCTGACATCCCTTGTGTAAATCTACCCCAGTTACTTTGGGCCCTGTTTATGCTATTTGATGTTTCATTGCACTGCGAGATGTTCTGGCCGCGGCTGCCTGCGAGCTGCCAAGCTGCGAGTCGGTTGCGGACGCCGCCGTGTGATTTATACATCTGAGCCCCGGCGCATAATGGCACGACTGTTTCGCCCAAATTAAAGTGCACATTTCCTCCCAGCCAGTGTCACATGTATAATTGCCTTTCAACGCAGAGATGAAGCATGAGACAAAGTCACTTGCACTTCGATTCCGGATAGCACTCTCTCTCTCTCCCTTTCTCTCTGGCTCCCTCTCTCCCCTCCCCTCTCCGCCTGACTCTCTGTTATGAAGAGGAGGTTGGCAGTGAATGCAATTTGTCTCATAATGAGATAAAAGTCAGAGACAATCAATTTATTTCTTTCGAGAGCAATACAATGATATTAATGTCCCCCATCCAGAGCTCCGGCGGTGGTACACATCTCCGCAATGTTTCCCTGCCTGATAAGCGGCCAATTCATACATTTTAAAAGAAGAAAGCACATGGGTGGAAAATAATCACCTATGCAGCCTCAGAGACCCGACTGATTCATTATACTCAAGGATTCTCCCCAACAGGGCTAAACCTGCTGTTAATTTTGCTCCGAGTCCATGAACGCAATACCACCGAGTAATCATGGAGCAGCTAACAAGGGTTTTTTGTGTCCACCCTTGAATATTGAGCACCCCAGCGGTTCCCTAATCCCTGTTTTGGACTCAATATATAATTTATTTAACGAGACAAGACCTCCTCGGCAAAAAAGAGGGCCTAGCAGAACTCGCTGGATTCATTAAATCCCAGCAGCCGAGTGAAATCAAGAGAAAACGCTGGGCCTAATAACGCGTGCCTCAAATGATCGCCTTGATTCTATGAACCTGGCCATATCAAAGCCTGGTCCTCCAGGCAGGCAATCAACATGCAGCAGATTTGATCTGTATCAAAGTTTCAAAACAAAGAAGACAGGGCATTAATATTACAGAGGAGGCAGCATCTGTGAAAAGTGTCCAGTGTGAGAGATGGAGAGATGGGCGAGCCAGGTAGGGAGGGAGAGAGAAAGCGAGAGCGGCTAGGAAAAGCTCTTGGGCTCCACCAAGTGGCCGCTTTTGCACATGGCAACCGCAACCTAGAGACGAGTGAGTTTAGACATGTAAATGCAGTTAAATGTCAGAAATACCACACACAATTCAATATTTACATCATCCAAATTACTATTTGAGATGCTTCAGATATGATGTCATGCCACATTTTACCCTCAGACCAAAACTGTTTATATACTTGCAGCCAGTGAAGCCCAGTAAATCAAGAAATGATGGGTTAGATGATATGGATCACTCTCCATTGGTTTATCACTTCAGAAGCTTTTCAAATGTGACTACTCTGCTTATTATGCAACATGCGTCCAGGATTAATATCCACTATGCTAATGGCATTCATGGAAACGGTTTAAACTATAGCCCTAATTAGAACATTCAATCATAATAATAATCAAAGAGGTTTAATTGTTACAAAAGGGAGTTGGTTTCACACAAGCCTGAGGCCAAAAAGAGATTAACAGCGGAGTCAACGGTGCTGAGCCGTATTATGCATTTTTGAAGGATATTTATACAAGCAGACATTTAAAGCATTTTCACTCTGTAGAAAGCCATTAGGTGACTGCCAGGCTTTTTCAATTACAAAAGCAATTCCAGCCTAATTTCTGAGGCTTTATTATTTCATCCTTCATTTTAACCGAGACAGTCACATTCCGAACTTCCAGTGCTATTGGAAATCTTTGCGTTATTGGGAAAAAAAAAAGACACACAGTTAGTGTTCCTTTGGGCCTAGCTGGGTGTTCATTTGTGCTCAGCGTTTTGAAACAGGTGGTGGGGGCGAAGTAGGATTGTGACAAATGTGTCAAGACACTAGTAGTTTGCAATAAAAGCGATTGTTGCTATGTAACACAATATGAAAAAAAAAAAAAGAACTCAAACGTAAAACTTCTATCGGTCTCTGCAGAAAGCTCAGACCCTGTGGGCAAGTTTGCTGATGCTGTTTTCGGAGGAAAGTGCCATTTCGTGATTGGAGGGGAGGCTGAATCTCACCTCGGAGCAGATACGTTTAGATGTGGAGTGCTTCAGGGCCCCGTCTTAGGTCCATTCTTGTTTTGAAGCTTTGGCTCTGCAGTGCATGAGGAAACACACACAAAAAATCAAAAAAAGAACCTGCTGGGAAAAAAAAAGAAATAAAAAGGTAAAAGCGAGGTGAGCGGTGTAAGTCCCTGTTAGCTGAAAGAAATGCACATGGCCTGTCATGCTGAGACGCCCCGTCTAAAGCCGGAGCAACAAACACAGTGGCAGGCCGCTCGGCCGAAGGCAATTACCGCATCAGGCAGGAAAGCTGCGCCGCTGTTTTTCTAGAGTGAAAGGGGGATTTGAATCCAACCCCAGACACGCTGCTCCACATAATCAAAGTCAACTGTATCGATTTGGTTTATATGAGAGGCTTTGCGCACACTCTAGTGCATTTATGCACCTGAGCTTCGCTTTCGGCGGCTTAATCCGCGGATGAAAAACTAGTAAGCGAAAACAGATTTGACACTGGGGAAAGGGGGGGGCGGTGTCCTGTTGCTCAGTGAATAAGATTTGTCTTATGGCTTTATTGAGTTGCTGTGCTTGTTTTCTTGGATTATTCATTGTTAGTGCTTGACTCCCATGAGGGTTTTGCATGAGGGGAGCGATGTCAATAGCTCCGCGAGAGGATGAGGAGCAGCCCGTTTACAGAACAAAAAAAAAAAGAAAGTCGGCTACAATAGCAGGCCGTGGATTTAGCTTGAGAAAACTCACGGGCGTAATCAGTGCCCTCTTTAATGGCCCTGACACCTGAATCAATACATGCTCTATGGGGCAACGCCACAGGCTTCATCTTGAATGGAACAGGCTACATGTCAGGAGACTGTTAAATTAAATTTTTATTTGATATCAAAGGAGTTCCATTGCAATAAATTTCACCATGGACTCGCTCAGCTCTGCAATCACTGTCTGCTTCCTGACTTACATCAAACGCGGTTAGGTGTGATGTGGTCAAATCCGATTGATATCAGTAAAGTATTAACATGAGTTATGTTTTGAATAGATTTTTCTATTCTTTCAGCTCATATTAAGCGGTTGTTGATAGTAAAAGTCTTGGGCAAATGCAAGATATCATCATTATATTGTCAACAGTCCTGACCAGTCCTGACCAGATCATTTTTGTGGTAGTATAGCCCAAACAAAGAAATATTCTAAATATAATCTCCTTTTAATCACATCTACTTCCCCTAGAAATGGTTAAGCCTTTTAACAGTACCTTCTTCAAAAATATGGTTCTTTAAGGGTTCTTTTATAAATAAAATTGTTCTGCATTGAACCATTACCACTCAAAGAACCCTATGAGGGTTCTTTGCATCATGAAAGGTTTCTTCAGATTGATGAAGAACGTGCTATGGAACCCTGTTTGAAAAGGGTCCTTTATAGCACCAAAAAGAGTTTCATTATTGTTACAAGCCTGAAAAGGTTCTTCTGATTGATGGAGAACGTTCTGTACACTCGGAGCAAAAAGGGTTGTATGTAGTAGAACATGCAAAGGGTCCTTTGGTTATAATGGTTCTATATAAAACCATGTTCTTTACTAAAGAACTTTGAAGAACGATATTTTTAAGAGCATAAATGGTTCTATATAGAACTTTTTAGAAATAGGTTCTATATAGCTCCAAAAGGGGTTCTTCTATTATTACAGACATTTAAAAATGTTTTTCAAGGGTTCTTTAGCAAAGAAAATGGTTTATATAGAATCATGAACACTCAAAGAACCCTATGCATGATTAAAGGGTTCTTTGCATCATGAAAAGGTTCTTTAGATTGACATAGAGTGTTCTGTACACTCTTAGCAAAAAGGGTTCTATGTCTTCTTTGGCTTATAACAATAGTGGAACCCTTTATGGTGCTATATAGAACCCTTTTCAAAAAGGGTTCTATATAAAACCATCTAAAACACATTCTCCATCAATGTGAAGAACGCTTTTATGGTGTGAGGATCCCTTTAATCATGCAAAAGGTTCGTTGGTGTTCATGGTTCTATATAGAGCCATTTTCTTTACTAAAGAACCCTCAAAGAGCCTTCTTTTTTTAAGATTATAGATGGTCCTGTATAGAACCTTTGTGAAAAGGGCTGTATATAGCACCAAAAAAGCTTCTTCGATTATTACACTCTTAAAAATGATGGCTCTTTGAGGGTTCTTTCATAAAGAAAATGGTTCTATATAAAGCCATGGATATTAAAAGAACCCTTTTCAAGATTAAAGGGTTCTTTGCATTGTAAAAGGGTTGTTCAGATTGATGGAGAATGTGCTGTAGATGGTTTTATACAGAACCTTTTTGAAAAGAGAATTTATAGCACCAAAAAGGGTCTTCTACTGTTACAATGTCAGGCTTGGTGCTATAGAGAACCCTCTTCAAAAAAAGTTCAATTTAGGCAAAGTTCTACTTGTGCATTCCTTGTAGTTTTTGTGTAGTTGATCTAATAACAGATTTAATAGGGAACATTTTCTACTTCTATGTGAATTAAAAATATTAGTCAATTTCCATTCTGCCAGTGGAGCAGCCACTAGACAGCCTGCAGAAATAGGTTAAGTCTTAGTTGAAATTTAGAGTGAGACTATTTCTGAAATTTGGCGGCTGAGAAACATTGTCTCATTCATTGACTTAACCGAAGCATAGCTGGATAATGTTTACACAAGATCTCAACTCCTCCTTCTCTTTTATCAGCTTCTTAGAAATCTTTCATCAGTCTCTCAGTGTAGAAAGAGAGCTCATGCTTTTCTAATTTGTCTCCAGAATTCGAACAAATAAAGGATTATGTTCTTTTTTTTTCTCTTTTCTTTTTTTCTGAGTCTTTTAGAGAAATAATTCCGGAATTAATGATCCTTTATTAATACAGCGAGTTACTTATTTTCTTCAAAGACAGTTGATAAGCTGATGAGAAAGATGTGTTTCTTTTAGGGTAATCAGCAACTTTATTTACTCCATATGTCGGTCAGACTTTGATACAACCAACCGTTATGCAAGCTTTTGAATGAAATGTTAAAAAACAAATAGAAACACAAAAATCATCACAGGATGCAAAGGAAATTTTGGCAACACTTTTTATGAATGTCACGTTCGTAAGCATCTATAAACACATTTATAACATGTTATAATGCCTTCCTACAGCATTATAAACATTTATAAAAATGAATTACACTGGATTACACTTTATAGCCGTGTTTATTATACATTATGAATTGTTAATATAATGCATTATAAGTAGTGTTGATAACATGTTATACTGTCAGTGCCAAAGAAGTCAGTCCCAGCTTGGAGACTACTGAAAGTAAAGACAAATACCAAGCTAACGGTGGTATGTATTATGTTAACAATTCATAATGCATAATAAGCATGGCTATAACGTGTAATGCATTTTTATAAATATTTATAGCCATGTTTATAATGCCTTATGAATGCATTATAACATGTTATGAATGTGTTTATAGATGCTTACAAAGGTGACATTCATAGAAAGTGTTACCGAAATTTCTTTTAAAGATGTTTAAACTTGACATGTTTGACCAGTGGTCAATACTAAAAAGCTAATTTAAAGAAACCAAATTAGAGAGCAGTAGACCTACTGCTGAAAAGTAAATATGAGCCATCCCTACATTCTCAGAAAAAAAGATTTTCACCTGGAAAAATGTATTTAAGGTACACAATTGGTCCCTAAAACCACTGTTGTACCTTTGAGGGAACATTTACATTGCTTGTACCTTGTTGAACAAAAATTGTACCTGCACAGAACCTTTATTTCTAACACAGTAGCAGCCTTCTAGAACACTGTGTCACTAGTGGTCCTGAAGTCATGAAGGCAGAGACTTCAACTCAGATCAACTCAGTTATATAAGGGTGAAATACCCCTCCTGCCACAGTGCAACACATAAGCAAACACTTATTGCAAATGTGGCGTAGTACAAAATGCAACTGGCATACATCCTCACTTTCACATAACAGACTATCCTGGTGATGGGAAAATTATCTATTGTCAAATAATAAGTTGAGTTGTGGATAAATACCTCCGTTCTTAAAATAAAAAATAAAAAAAAAATTGCCAAAAAGTTGCCAAAAAGGGTTCTAGAGTAATGCTAACTTTTAGTTCCATTAGGATTGATTTTCTTTTGAGCTTTTTTAAAATGCATCCACTGAAAGGTTCATTAAGGAATCTAAAGTGGCTCCTCTATGGCAGGGGTTTCTAATCCTACCTGCATGGGGCCTGTGTTGTAGCAGGTTTTCATTCTAACAAAGCAGGAGCACAAGTGATCAATTGTTTAAAGACTGAGAATGATTGATTGCACAAGCATAATCAGGTGTTCTCCTCTTTTCTTGTGGAAAACCTGCAGCCACACAGGCCCTTTGTGGTTAATATTGGACATCCCTGCTATAGGATAACCACATTTAGTTCCTTCATGAACCTTTCAATCAATGCAATTTGAATAAAACTTAATTCCCACTCAACTGAAAGGGTCTTTATGGAAAAAAAGTGGTTTATAAAAGGTATCTTTTGTTAGAATAACCATCCCCACCAAATTTGACGACATATGCTGCACTGTTATCATCATACTTTCACCATGACTTCTTGAAGGCCGGAACAAGTGCTACAAAAATACAACACTCATATGTTTTCTGACACTGAAGAGCTGCCATTGCACTTGATGGAATTATTGCTTCTTGACAGATGACCTGCCATGACCTCCAACAAATTCAACCTTTTTTTTTTTCTTCCTCTCTTACTTTGATTTTTTTCACAGGGAATCAAAGGAACATCAAAGCGAACGTCTACAATGCCAGAGTTGCTGATCCAACCGTTTAGATCATTTGCCATTCAGCGCTGCCTTCCTTATTAGATTATTCATCCGGAATTGTGCCTGTCCCGAGGATCAATTGGATACAGCCGTGATGATGATGATTCACTTCCCCTGGCTGTTCCCACTACTCTGCCTCCTCCCTCTGGGCTCACCCGTCATGCTGGTGGTGCGGAGTCGGGGTAGTGTCCTGCGCCCCCCCAGCCAAACGCTGCAGCCTGAGGGCAGAGTGCTGCACAGATCCAAGCGCGACTGGATGTGGAGGCAGTTCTTCCTGTCGGAGGAATACATGGGAAACAGCTACCAATACGTCGGCAAGGTGAGAGAGACCATGGTGAAGCTTGGGAACTGGCTTGTCTTGTCTTACAAACAAGCCTTTAGGGGGAAGATGTGAAGAAATGACAAAAAAAAAAAAAGCCCTTTGAGGTTTTATGTGGCATGGCATAATATTTGAATATGAATGTGGCACTTTGAAAAACTTGACGCCATTATCAAAGAAAAGCCACGAAAATGTGAATTACACAGTCACTTAGGCATGAATATTCAGGCAGAGAGACAGTAGAGGAAAGATGCGGGTGAAGGGGGGATTTGGTGGGGGGATTTAGAGGGGTGGGTGTTGGGTGTTTTGCACCAGGCTTTGAGCCTGGTTTTACGATTCTCATTTCTAGGACGAAAGTGGCACCCCAGAGACCTGACGGGAATCGACAATTACAGGCTATTTCATTGTCTCTCTCTCCCGCTTTTTCACCCATTGACTTCTTACCCATCTGCAATAGCTGTGTGAAAGGGAAAGGCTTTCAATTCATCAAGCTGCAATTCACCGATGTGCCAAATTTATGCCACATTAACCATGAAAGAGAAGCCCATACCAGTATCATCAGCACATTCTCTGCCCCTGACATGGACTGATCATAATGTATAATTCGCAATAATGGAATGAAACTGCTTCCCTTGTTGCTACGCTTGGTAATGCAGCACTTAGAATATATCAACTCATAATGGCTCATTGCATGGCCCTGGTGTAGCCCTGCCCCTATTTTGGTGTTTTGCCTGTTCTAACACATTTATGTCACATGTAATGTAAGTTGTATGCGAGTGTAAGTTTTGTTTCTATCAATCCAGATTAACAATGGAAGGTAGTAACTTAAATTCAAAGGCTTCCTGAGGTTTATTGTTCAGTAAATGCATATTGGGCGGCACGGTGGCGCAGTGGGTAGCGCTGTCGCCTCACAGCAAGAATGGCCTGGGTTCGATTCCCGGCCGGGCGACCAGGGTCATTTCTGTGTGGAGTTTGCATGTTCTCCCCGTGTCTGCGTGGGTTTCCTCCGGGTACTCCGGTTTCCTCCCACAGTCCAAAGACATGCAATCAGGCCGATTGGACGTGCTAAAATTGCCCCTAGGTATGAATGTGTATGTCTGTCTGTCTGCCCTGCGATGGACTGGCCACCTGTCCAGGGTGTATCCTGCCTTCCGCCCAATGACAGCTGGGATAGGCTCCAGCACCCCACCGCGACCCAGAAGGATAAGCGGTTTAGATGATGTATGTATGTATGTAAATGCATATTGTTTATCACATTATTAGGCAGGGAGTCACCAGCAGGTCCAGGCTTCCAATTTACATTCCTATAACTTAAGCATCATAAGTTTTTCATGTAATTATTGAATAATAAGCTTTACACTTTTTTAAAAAAGATGGTTCCTCAAGGGTTCTTTGGTAAAGAAAATGATTCTATATAGAACCTTGAACACTCAAAGAACCCCTGCATGATTACAGGGTACAGGCATAGTGAAGGGTTCTTCAGATGGATGGAAAATGTGACATGTATGATCTAACTAATGTAATTTTTGAAAAGGGTTCTATGTAGAAACATTTACAGCACATTCTCCATGAATTTGAAGAAGAACCCTTTGTGATGCAAAGATCATCATGCAATGGCCTTTTTGAGTGTTCTTGGTTCTATATTTAACCATTTTCTTTACTAAAGAACCCTCAAAGAATGATCTTTTTTTTGTGTAGGACTGAATATGCCTGGGGCGGGTTTTAGGCAGATCGCTGAACTGTGCTGGACACTGGCCCTCCATTAACGCCCTTGTTTTAAGAGGTTAAAGAACAAGCAGATATGGAGATCACATGGCACTACTGACACCTATATAATAGTACTTCTCTAAAAGGGAGTGACTCCAGACAAAGCAAAGGCTAGGTTGAGAATAGAAGAGACAGGCTGGGGATAAAGTGACAACATAAATTGATTAATCTTCTAATTAACAAGCCATTTCTGAGTTGAAGTGGGTGCATTAGAGCAGGAAAACACTAAAATGTTCAAGGTGATGGTGCACAAGTAGCAGTGGCTAAGAGACCACTGGTTTAATGAACATTTGGGTCAGTAGTTGTCAAAAAAGGTATCTTGCAATATTGCTGCAGACATGGTCAGTCTCATATCTTACCTAGTGATCAGTTAAAATCTGTTTAAATCTAAGCAGGCCAAGTGAAAAATTGCCCCTCTAGATTCCACTGCTTTGAAAGTGGTGTCTGTGAGACTCTTAACCTTCATATCAGCCCTAAAGAGTTTGTCTTGCAATACTATTTGAATGTTTTAATGTAGTTACATATGTAATTATGTATAATACAATGAGATATTAATTATAATTGCATTTACAACCCTATTTCCAAAAAGTTGGGGCGCTGTGCAAAATGTAAATAAAAACAAAATGCAATGATTTGCAAATCACTTAAACCCTATATTTAATTTAAAATAGCACAAAGACAACATATCAAATGTTGCTTTTTGAAAAATATATGTCCATTTTGAATTTGATGCCAATAAAACGTTGCAAAAAAGTTGGGACAGGGGCAACAAAAGGCTGGTAAACTTGTGTAATGCCAAAAGCAACTGGTGGTTAATTGGCAACAGGTCAGTAACATGAGTATTTGCTTGCCATGAACTTTGGGCCCTCAGGCAGCACTGATTTAAAAATAGACGTGATTCTGTAGTGGAAATCACTGCATGGGCTCAAGAACACTTCTAAAAACCACTGTCTGTGAAAACAGTTCATCGCTGCCTCCACAAATGCAAGTTGAAACTCTAAAATGCAAAGAAGAAACCAGATATAAACAGGATTCAGAAACACTGCCACCTTCTCTGGGCCCGAACTCTTTTAGAATGGACAGAGGGGAAGTGGAAAAAGTGTCCTGTGGTCCGACAAATCAACATTTGAGATTCTTTTTGGAAATCAATGACACCGTGTCCTCTGGACGAAAGACCACCCGGCTTGTTATCATTGCACAGTTCAAAAGCTAGTATTCATGATGGTATAGGGGGGCATTAGTGCGCATGCCATGTGCGACCCACCCAACAGTGAAGGCGCCATTATTGCTGAATGATATATACAGGTTTTGGCAACATATGCTACCATCCAGATGACGTCTTTTTCAGGGAAGGCCTTGCTTATATCAGCAAGATGATGCCAAACCACATTCTGCATGTATTACAACAGCATTGCTCTGTATTAAAAGAGTCAGAGTGCTAAACTTTCCTGCCTGCAGCCCAGACCTGTCACCACTGAAAACATCTGGTAAATTATAAAATTAAAAATACAACATAGGAGACCGCAAACTGTTGAGCAGCTGAAATCCTATATCAAACAAGAATGGGAAAACATTTCTCCTTCAAAACTACAGCAATTGGTCTTCTCAGTTTCCAAACGCTTACAGTGTTGTTAAAGAAGAGGTTTTTTTTAAATGTATTGCGGCATTAAATTCCAAAAGGGCAAATATTTTTCAAAGAACAATAAAATTTCTCAGCTTCAACATGTGAAATGTTGTCTTTGTACTATTTTCCTTTAAAAATTTGGTTCACATGATTTGAATATTATTGCAGTCTATTTTTATTTACATTCTGCACAGTGTTATAAACTTTTTGGAAATGGGGTTGTACATTATCTATCTCTTTCTCTAGATTCTGACTTTTCTTTATTTGTTTTAATGTTAAACAATAATAAAACAATTTTCTGCAAAAATCTGAACAAAACAACAAACAAACAAGTCTCTCCATAATGCTAGCCAATAGTTCACCTGAAAGGACCCTGTGCCACTCATGTCTAGAAGTTACAATGACCTGTGACTTGCTGCTAATGACTGCTAGTGTAGTTTGGCACATGATTTGCTTTGAGTGAGTTTGATGAGTGAGTAGTTGAGTTGTACTGGACAGCTGGCCAGCAATTAGGCCAAGCTGGGCTAGCCACTGGCTCTTTCTAAGAATAGCGAAGCAAACCAACATCATTTCATTTACACATCTGTAACTCTGTGGACAGTTAGTGGAACTTTACATTATCAATCTTACCAAACTTGTGGTTGTTGCATGTCAAGCAAAAGTACAAGTGCTCACCGAAGCTGCAGAGAGTATTTTGAAATATAGAGCAACGAAATCCAGAAGAACAGCATTCAAATGCCATTTTTCACATGACACTTCAGTGCTTCATTAAACACAGCTTTAAAAACTTTGACACGAAAACAGAGATGGCCAGCGCCAAGCCCTGGAGGAGTCCAAACACACAAAGGGCAGAAGGTGCCGGTTGTGTTGGGAGGAGTGCTGGGTGTTGCTGAGTGTGATGATTGGAGTCTGCCGTCAGCAGGCAGCATCTACACTGTCTAGTTTAGGGTTTTCTGTTTTCTGGTCTCTTGGGCTGGTCAGCAGCAACAGCTGCTGTTTTTTCAGTCATGTTACATTGTGGAACCTCACTGTCCGGCCACAATAAATCCTTTACATGGACACCAAAGGTTCAATATTAGTTGACTGCTCGCCTAAGTATTATTATGTCTACAGCACAATTCGAGGTTCTAGTAGTTCCAAGCTTAGCATGATTAACCCTCTGGGGTCTGAGGGCATTGTTTTTATTTTTGCATATATTCTTAAATTCACCTTTAAAGGCTCTTGCGTATGACATGATAACCACATACTATACGTCAAAATGTTAAGAATAACTTCAGCTTTCTTAATTATGAGACCGTTTTGACCTGTAGCACTGTGTAAGGAGATAATTCAGCCCGAAACCTGAAAAAATGAAATCTGATTTTAGAAATTGTTAATATCTCTTGTGAAAACACAGCAGGAACTGAGTCAGGTTTGATCTCTTGATTAGATGAAAATGGAAAGGGCGACTCCACAGATTCAAGAATGGTTTGGACCGTATTTGTGCATTGTATTATCACAATCTTATCAACACAAACACTCAAAAACATGTAATTTGGCGTATTCGTTGACCCCAGAAGGTTAAAACATGTGGTCCAGGCTAGTCTATTCTAGATTTGGACATATAACA